AGGAGACCTCTGAGGATAATTCGGCTCCCAGTAAGGGGCTGGCAGGCCTACTGGGAACAGCTTTGGGAAATCACTGATTTTTAAGGTGGAAATGCTTTATTCAGTGTTTTTAGCAGTTTTAATGAGCAGGTCCGTTTGTGTGAATGATGAACACTGAGGCTGACTGCAGTGTACTCAAACAAACCATGCAACAGGAAACAAACAACTTTGTTGTGCGGAGTACGACAGCAACGTCAGAAAACACACACAGGGAGCAGACAATGTAAATTCTGAATTCAGTGCAACCCATTTTAGAAGATACACAGAAAATGCAGTCTCTTTGACTCACTACGTTTACAGTCTTTCTGTGCAAAAGCATGTGTTAAGATATTTTTTGTATGTGTGTAACATGTGAGCTAGTCCTGTGTACTGTAATGTCATTTACATAATCATCTGCCCTCCCTCATCTTTCACATCCATTATCATCACAGTCCCTAGACCTTGACATTGTGGAACTTCATTAACAGGGACGGTTGAGCCCGCTGCCCTCCCTCTAACAGTGCAGTTATGTCTCGTAGAATGTCTGTAATTTGTCATTACTGTTCTGACATAGAGTTGATTTTGGGGGAAATTGCAAAGATTAGCAGAATTAGCTAGACAGTTAGCTAAAACTCGCTACAAAGCTCCGTAACGCAGAGAGGAGCTGCAGATTGAGCTGATAATTTTCTGTGGGCTCATCACTACACTGTAAAAAAACAAAAGCTGAGAGAACTCGTAACTTCAACTGTCATTACTCATTCTTTAAGTTTTAAGTGAGACTTGAACTTGACTTTTTTTTAAAATAAACCTATATATCTTTTGTCGAGATAATTTACTTTTCTTCTTTAGAAAAAACGTTGAGTTAAGTAAACAAAATAAATTGCTATTTCAAAAAAAAATTTCAGTGAGCTGTGAACCAGATTAATTATTTTGGTACTTAAAAAATAAATAGTTGCAATTGAAAATGTTAAATTAAACCTTTTCAGAATTTTTTTTGAAATACTTTTTTCTTCTAAAACTTAAAGATTCAAGTTTTTATAAAGAAGAAAAGATAATTATCATTAATTATCATTAGTTTGATTCAAAACCCAATACTTTAACTACAAACCCAAAAAATTACTGAAGACAGTTGCGTTGAAAGTTTGAGTTTCTTTACACTTCAAACTAACTAATTAAAGACAACCAGCAAACTGTTCAGATTTTTTTGCGTTGTACTGGGCTGTATTAGTTTGGATCATTGTGTTGCGAAATCAAAATGCAACGTAAACACTGCTTGACTGCACTTTCATCTGGTTGTGTCCTTGAAAAAAATAACAGCTGGAAAGGTTGCATAAGCTAGTAGAGTGCATAAAAAGCTTACATTATCCTGCAGCAGATTAAAGGGCACGTATGGATTTTACCAAGAGTGCAACAACAGTATGAACCAAAATTCCTGAATCCCTTTATCCAGCTATATTAAGTCGAAGTTCTCTGACCGTTTCAACCTGGACAATGTTCCACATGTTGCGTACTGTGCTGTACCTGCGTGATGAATGCTTAAGATAAGGTATTTCCCTCCTATAAGTGAATGTCCTACATCTTCAGAGATCTCCTGCGTGAGGTCCAGACACAGACGGGATCTACTGTTCAGTTTGATCTAGGTTTACGTGCATAGGCTGCTGCTACTGTATGTTATCAAACCATCAATGAGAAAAGGTCATTCAGACAGACGCGTGCTCCACCGCACTAATGGGGATAAGACAAGGTTGAGGTTAGCATGAAAAAATGTTGGGTTTTGTTGTTTCTTTTAAGCTGAACTGAGATAAATTCAGTAGCCCCGGTGGGAGTGAGGAAAGCAGAAGCGGTTGAGGAACATGAAATGCCAATGAGCAAAAGTCACAATACTGATAAGAGAGCTGAAGCAAAGACAGACTGAATGAAAGGGGAAAAGGCGGAAGGGAGGAGAAGGTGAAAATTCAGATATCGCATCAATTTGTGACTTCAAAAGAATCCCACAGTTGCCGATTTGCTGCTTGCCGTGGAAAACCTCGATACTCCTGGTTTCATTCAGCAGGAGGCCTTTGATCTCTGCTAAAGGAGCCCTATAATCTGAACAAACCTTTTACCAACATGTTCAAACACACGTGTGTGGTTGACTTCAGCTTATCCCGATCCTGTGTGAGCTTTTTAAAATGGACAGATACCGACCTCCAAGAGATTAGACTATTGCCCAATAAACTGGCCTCTCCTTCTTTAGTTAAAGACTGCCCTCATGTCAGAGAACGTCATTTGATCCAGAGAGAAGACTTTTGTGCGCTCTTCATCAGTAATCTGCAGGAACAAGTATGGCAAAAACAGCAATGCAAGAAACGCCCCAAAATACTCACCGTTCACTGCAGCCTGCTAGTGGTTCCTCCATTTTAAAGCCACACAGTGCAGCCAAACACACTGTTCAAACACACATTTGTTTTATTTTAAAGTTGCACTCCTCAATATTTTCATATTTATTATGAATTATGAATTATCATTTAACACACTGTACGCTACCTGCTCAGCACCAAACAACAGAGACACAGGAAAATCAGGGCGAAGGGGTTTTGAGACAGCTGGAGGGAGTTTTGACCGATGGTAGCCGTAGATGGAAAGTGAGGTTACCAGATTCACCAGATTCATGTATTCATTCATTCACTCACTGTATATCTGTGACTCTGCTGCATTCTGAAAGCACAGAACTAGCAGGTGCCCAAACCCATGCTTTCCATGTCTCATGTCTACATGTGAATGAGAAATAGAATGTCTATTAGTTCATGGGTTAAACTCATTAACAGTCAGTCACAAGTCAGTCACACACATGCACACACACACACACACGCACACACAATGTTAATAATGTGCCTTCTCTTTCATACAGTTCAGTGCCACCCTTCACCCTAAGGCCATGTTTGAGATCAAACCTTATGGACATGTTAGATTGAGGTTATGTGTCTGTATGTGTGTTTGTGTTTGTGTGTGTGTATGTGTGTGTGTAACCATCCACACACTTCACTAATGAACCATTTCCCTGACTCACTCTCTTGAAACATATTTGTTTGCGTGTTGCTCACGACGCAGACGTAATAGGGCTAATAGGGCTCAGTTTTCCCCCTCCACAGTTAATAACAGTTGAAATTTATGTCATGTAAACATCCAACTCAATTTATTT